CCTCGCACGTAGCCGGCTTTCCGACCACCGAGTCGCGGTTTGCCCCTTTGGCTACCCCACCAGAGGACCCTCAGGACACGATAGACGTAGTTCTCTCCGCCCCATCGTCTATCGAGGTACCGTCTGCCTCCCAGCAGACTGCCGCATCTAGCGCTTCTCGCTTGAGACTTCCGACGCGTTGCGCCATTCGCACAACCCGTTGTGGCGCTCAGCTGGCGACTCGCGATGACGTTGTGTCATCTCTCCTGGACTTGAGCATTCTGCAGGCTCGTGAGGAGCGCCTCAGGAGACACATCAACGTCCTGCGTCGTCTTCTCGCCTTGCTCTCTGACCCTGATCGCACCCTACCCATCATCCCTATTCGCCTAGGGACATCTACGAGGGTGTACCGCGCTTTATGGGACTCTGGCTCGCAGGAAGATTTCGTTCACCCTCGAGTGGTTGAGGAAGCTCGCCCAGCTACCTCTGGGTCTCGCTCTCCTATCTCCGTTACCCTCGGAGATAACAAGACGCAGCGCTTCTTCGATCAGACGGTCCCCGACCTCCACTTCTCCCTCACCCTCCAGCCACCGGATAGTACCCAGGCGCCTCGGCGCTACCATTCCTCCGCCTACTTCGACGTGCTGGAGACTGGGTACGACTTTATCCTTGGCACTCCCTGGTCTCGCCGGTTCTGCAGCACAGAGGCCGAATGGGCGTTTGAGACACTCATTCTCAAAACGAAGTGTGGTCAAACCCATCGAGTCCCCTTCGTTGGAACCACGGGCGACACCCCTCCAAACCTACCTCCCCAGGACCCTCGTCCTTTTGGGTTCCACCTAGACATCTTCTTCACTTCTCCCCGTCAGTTTGCTCACTTCATCCGACAGGAGGACGTCACGCTCTACTCAGTGAACGTCATGGATCTTCTTCGCTACGATCCACTCTGTCATGAGGTTGAGCTCATCTCACTGAAGCCCGATCCCCCTGAACCTTCCTCCATCTTCGCGGCTCCCATCTCTACATCCACCCCGCAGCCTGCGGATACCCCCTCGACATCCCAGGTTCCTACGCCGTCCACTGCCGAGTCCACCCATACGTCTCGTGCCGACGCGGACGTTGAGGAACTCATGCGGTTCACGGCTGACTTAGAGCCCGTCATTCGCGACCTGATTCGGGAGTACCGCGACGTTTTCCCCCCATATTTCTCATACAGCGGGATTCCTCCGATGCGCTGTGTCTAGCATTCCATCCAGCTCGTGCCTGACTATCGTGTTCACCATCAGGCACCATACCGACTCTCGATTCCAGAGGCGACGGAACTCAAGCGTCAGCTTGAGGAGCTCCTTCGACTTGGTTTCATTAAACCTAGTAACTCCCCTTGGGGTGCACCTGTCCTCTTTGCTCGCAAAGCGGACGGAACTCTCCGCCTCTGCATCGATTATCGCGGCCTTAACCGTTACACGGTTAAGAACAGCTATCCCATGCCCCGCGCGGATGAGCTGTTTGACCGTCTGGCAGGCAACCGCTTCTTTACGAAGATCGATCTTCGTAGCGGTTACCACCAGATCCGCGTTGCCGCAGAGGACCAGCCGAAGACCGCCTTTCGGTCGCGCTTCGGCCACTACGAGTTCACGGTGATGCCATTCGGCCTCACCTATGCACTCGCCACCTTCCAGATGGCGATGAACGACATCTTCAGGGACATCCTTGAAGAATACGTTCTCGTATACCTGGATGACATCCTGGTCTACAGTCATACCTTAGAAGACCATATCAGACACCTCCGCGATGTCCTACAGCGCTTACGCAAGCATGGTGTCTATGCCAAGCTCAGTAAGTGCCGCTTTGCCCAGCGCAAAGTGGACTTCCTAGGACACCATGTGTCTGACCAGGGTCTCCACATGGACGACGCGAAGATCACTGCTATTGCAGAGTGGCCCGTCCCCACATCTGCCAAGCAGCTTCGCAGCTTTGTAGGCCTCACCAGCTACTATAGTAATTTTATCCAGGGATACGCTAGGTATTCCTACGTCCTTACCTCCACCCTCCTCCGGAAGAACCCACCGTGGTTTTGGACACCCCTCTGCAAGGACGCCTTTCGCGCCCTCAAGAAGGCGGTGACTTGCGCGCCGGTTCTTCGCCTTCCCGATTTTGATCGTTCCTTTATCGTCACCACCGATGCGTCAGATTTTGCAGTAGGAGTTGTCCTTTCTCAGGTGTTTCCCTCTGCTCCAGATTCACCTTACCCCCATGTTCCTCCTTTCCCCCCCCCTCGTGCTGGCACTGCTTCTCGACTGACGCCTATCCTACCACCACTTCCCTCCACTGACAGTCCTCCCATTACTTACTCCCCGACCATCGCGGAGGATGGGACGGTCGAGGCTCGTGCTGGGGATTGCCCGATCGCTTTCTACTCCCGTCAGCTACTACCTGCCGAGATAAACTACACTGCCGATGAACGTGAGGTTCTCGCAGTAGTTTATGCTACCCGGCATTGGCGTCATTATCTGCACGGGGCGCCCTTCACGGTGCGCACGGACAACTCAGTTGTCCAGGCTTTCCTCACGAAGTCTAAGCTTTCCCTCGACAGGCACGCTGGTGGCGTGACTTATCCGAGTTCAGTTTCACCACTCAGCCCATCAAGGGTGAAACGAACCGCGTCGCCGATGCCTTGTCCCGCCGTCCTGATCACAATCAGGAACCCATCCATCTTGCYGCCATCTCCATCACCAGTGTTGATCAATCGGTGATCGACGCGTATCGCACTTAGTACCGCCACTGCGCCGATTATCGCGTCATCCACGCGACACTGCGGAGTGGCAAGACCGTTCCTTCCTACTCCCTCGGGGAGAACGGCCTCGTGTACTGGCATGGCAGATCTGGTCAGCTAGAACCATGTATCTGCGTTCCCTCCACCGGACAGCTCCGCGTCCAGGCTGTAGCAGAGTTCCATGACCAGGCGGCTGCCGGTCATATGGGTTTCCACAAGACGTTGGCTCGTGTTTGCCGCCTATACGTCTGGTCGAAGTCCAAGGACTTTGTCAAAGCTTACATCCGGGAGTGTCCTACCTGCCAGGAGGTGAACAGTGCGAACCACCTTCCGTATGGGTTACTTCAGCCCCTACCCATACCTGAAGGTCGTTGGCAGTCTATCTCGATAGATTTCTTTGGTCCCCTCCACCCACCCACTCAGCGCGGTCATGATGCTATCTTGGTCGTCGTCGATCGCTTCACGAAGCGTGCACGTTTTGTTCCGTGCTGCTATCGCATTAGCGCTCGTGAGGTCGCCGACATCGTCTTCGACCGAGTCGTGAGAGATCACGGCTTACCTCAGAGCATCATCTCCGACCGTGACCCGCGCTTTACCAGCACATTCTGGCGACGCCTACACGAGGTGTACGGATCCCAGCTCCGCTTCTCATCGTAGATATCCAATATATGATAATTATCATTATAATAATAATTATCACCCTCAGACGGATGGTGAGACTGAGGTCACCAACAAAACTCTCGGTAATATCCTCTGAAAGTTTGTTAGGGATGACCAGCAGTGGGACTTACACTTAGCCCACGCGGAGATTGCGTACAACCACGCTGTTTCGCCAGCCACGGGGATGTCGCCATTCTATTGCGACCTTGGCTACCACCCTCGCGTACCTGCGGATTTCCTACGACCATCGCGGTTGTGCCCAGACACTCATTGCCCTGCGCTTGACGACTGGATCGCCCACATGGCGGCGATTATGAAGCGCGCACACGAGAGTTTAGCCGACTCCCAGACTCGCATGGCCGCACGAGCGAACCGATCACGAATGGATCATCCATTCAAAGTCGGTGACGATGTGCTCGTCGACGCACGCCACTTACAGCTCGAAGCAGATATGCTTCGTAAGTTCAGGCGTCGTTTCTTCGGTCCATGCCGCATCCTTCAGGCCGTCGGCTCTGATACTGCCGCTAGTCCGGTCAGCTTCCGTGTGAAGCTACCTGATTACCTTCGACAGACTCGCGTACACGATGTTTACCACGTCTCCTTGCTGCGTCCTTATCGCAGACCGTCCGAGCGCTTCACCGGACGCCCTTATGAGCGCCCTCCACCTATCATGGTGGACGGTCACGAGGAGTTCGTTGTTTCCGACATCGTATCACGCCGAGTTACCGACGATACCCCTCCACGCATCGAGTACCTTGTGCGTTGGAAGGGCTATCTTGATGAGGAGGCTACTTGGGATCCCCTCGAGCACTTGCAGCACGCCAGGATGTTGGTGCGTGCATATGATCGTGCTCGTCGTGCTGGGACATCTGCTTCTACTCAGCCGACTGACCCTCTTCCTCCTCCTCCGGCTGAGGAGATCGCTGAGGATGAGCCCGCTCCCTCTGAGGCCGTTCCTCAGCCGCAGATGGTCGCCTCCGAGCGTCCACAACGCACTCATCGTCGGCCTTCACGTTACGATGACTGACACTCTTATCCTCCATCTTTCCCCACTGACTCACACCATCAGGTACTCCATCATCAACTCTTCTTCAGGATGTTAGCGTTTTGCGACTCTGCTTCAACATCGACTCGACTGCTACTTCATCGACGTTATCGACCGATTCGACGACTTCAGCTACCTTATCGGCTTCAGCTACTTTGGACGTGACTACTTCACGCCACCACCCTACCCTRTACATTCCCTTGCATCTGTCGCATGATGGTTCTCACTTAGCTGGGTCTCTTTGAGTTGGGCTCTCCCTTGGTATCGCATAGGCATTGGGACCGTAGCGTTATCTTGGCTTCCCTGC